CCCTGTCCTTTCCCAGCCCTCCCCTCTCCCCCTCCCCCTGCGCATCGTCGTCGTCGTTCATCGCGCTCTTCCTTTGCCTCACCCGCTAGGCCTCGCCCTCCTCGTAGTGCCAAGTCGGTTGTGGACGCGATGCCGGCACGCGGGTGCTAGCTGAAGAATCCCCTCCCGCCTTCAATATTGACCCCACCGAGCCGCGGAGAACCCCTGGGCGGAGGGGAGACACGCGACAAACCAATATTGGATTCGGGGGCGCGGGGCAGGGACATCGCACGCCACGCTTGCGCTGCTGCACCACCCGTTGGTCGGTTATCGAATCGCGTCGCTCATTCCGCCGGCCCATGATTGCGTGCCGCTGTCGATTGACCGAGTGGTCTTTCGCGGTGCGGGGCTGCACGGGCGGCGACTGTTTTTTTATGAGGCTTTGCGTTCTGTATGTGAGGCTTCTTGGTGGCTGCTAGGGGGGTCTTGAACGCGTCGCGGGCCGTCTCGAAGCGTTTTGCCTATGGAGACTCTTTTGGGAGTCCTCTTGGTGGCCTCGCGGGGACTCGTAAACGCGTCGGGTCGTTGGCACTTGCTTGCGTGCTCGTGGGGGCATTTGGGGGGCCTCCTGGGGCCGCTTGGGGGCCCCTTGAAAAGGTAGAAACGCCCAACTCTCTCCTAAACCTAATGGGAATCCATGAATTGTACCTCTTGGGGCCCTCCTGGAGCCGCTTGGGGGCCTCTTGGGGGCCTCCTGGGGGCCTGTTGGGGGCGACTTGGGGGCTCTTATGAACCTCTTGGGGGCTCATGGGGCGTTCTTAGGGCCAGGAGCACGAAATGTTGAGTCGTGTTCCCCCCCTGGGACCTCTCTTGGGGAGCTCTTGGGGACTTCTTGGGGCCGTCTTGGAGGCCTCTTGGGCCGTCTTGGAGCCCTCTTGGGGGCCTCTTGGGTCCTCTTGGGGCGGTCTGGGGGGCATCTGGGGCCGTCTTGGGGTGTCGGGAAGCCGAAATGGAGGAAACGCCAAAATCTTTCCAAAACCTTAGGAGAAGCAATGCATTTTGCCTCTTGGGGCCCTCTTGAGAGTGCTCTGGGAGGCGTGTTGGGTCGTCTGGGGGGCATCTTGTGCGTCGTGAAGCGATCTTGTGGCATCTCGGAGCTCTCTTGTATCATCTTGAGGGGCTCTTGGCGGCCTCTTGGCCTTGCTTGGGGCTCTCTGGATGGCCTCGAAGGCGGCGCCTAGGAGGAAAACAATCTCTGACCCGCAGCGCCCGGGCTTCGCCCGGGGTACTTGTCTTCCGGGGACCCCAGGGGCCGCCCCGCGCGCGCTAAGTAGACTCATTGTAAAGCAGTTACCGGAGATCTTAGCACGCCTCAGGCCCGTTGGGCCGGCGAATTAGTGTGTACCAGTGGTGGTTGCCACCTAGTTCTTCCTCCTTGCTCCTTCTTCCCTCCCAGCCGCATTCTGCGTCCTCCTGCACCCTATCCAGCCCAGCCCAGAGGCACCCTAGTGGGTCCCCACTCCTGTCATGCAGGGGGACCCCTGGGCAGCGGAGTTAAGGCCCCTGGGTCCCGCCGCGACCGCCGCCCGAGCTGGCTCACTTTCGGGCATGGCTCCCTTTCGGGCCTGGCCCGAGCTGGCCCACATGTCGTATCAGATGCGTCGGTGGGATCACTGGAAGGCCCTGGAGGTGCCCCTGGAAGTCCATACTGGAAGTGCTCAGGAGAGACCATGGATCGGTGGCTTCTGCGGGAGCGCCTCGAGGCTACGTGCGAAGCCCTTTCTGGAGCAGCGTCGTCGGACAAGACCTTGAAGTCAATCGTGCATTCCACTGCGTCTGATGTAGACACAGAGCGCACGACGTGGTGGGAGAAGGAAGCTGATGGATCGGTCGATGCATATGGCAAGGTCGGTGCGACGGTGCTCGTAGAGGATTAAAGACGTAAACATACACTTTTGGAGGTCCGCGCGGATTTTGGATCGGCGCTGGCCCACCCATCTTGGCGCGCAGAGCGCGCCAGGGGCGGCGCCGGAGGTACCGCCAGAGAGGCTTGGCGCAGATCCGAGCAATGCGCGCAGAGCCCTGGAAGTTCATGTTTACAGCAGGTGCCCCATGGAGATCTCCTGCCCCCCGATGGCCCTGGGGGGTTCTTGTCCCCCGATGGCCCTGGAGGCTCACAGAAGCCATGGAGCACCCTGGGAATCTCAGTGTTCATCGACAAACGTGCCCCAACATTTCTTGATGCGAAATCCGTATAGCCACTTTGGTGCAATAGTTTTGGCCTCGGGCCGACGGATCCACCGACCAGCCGCAAGCACCGCAAGCAGGCACCGTAACGTCCAACCATGGCGGCGCGCACAGGATCGTCGCTTGTCTGCCCCGGAGGGCAGCTGCAGGGAGCGAGGCGGCGAAAGATCGTCTCCTTCGACACGGCTCCTCAGTGCTTCGCACCCCGCGTAAGCCCCGTCGCTGCCGCTGCGGAGCTCGTCCAGGCGCTGCTGGCCGACGCCGAGTCCGACAGTGACGTGAGCACGGGCTCTCCCGCGGAGTTCGAAGTCCAGCTGGGGGCTCGGGCAGCCCTGCCCGACGACACTCCGGGCAGCATGGCATCGTCCGTGTTCAGCGACGCCGATGAGTCGCCGGGCGCGCAGGAGGAGGACTACCTCGAGCTGGCCGAGATCGAGGCGTTCGCTGACGAGCAGGCCCGGCGGTTCATGCCTCTGGTAGAGAAGCGGCGCGCGCGCCGGACAGCCACCATGAGGGGAGCGAGAGATTCCATAAGCGTAACAACTCGGAGGTCCTCGCGGATTTCTCGGATCCGCGCTGGGACCCGCCTCCCTGGCGCGCGGAGCGCGCTAGGGGCGGCGCCAGAGGCGCCGCCAGGGGATCCCAGCGCGGACCCGAGAACTCCGCGCGGACCTCCGAGTTTTTATGCCAATGCCATGTGTAGCTCCCCTAACCATCAGCATCGGCCGTGCGAAGCAGGCGGACGGCATCACTTTCCAGCTGAAGACCTCCGCCCTGTGGCAGCGCAGAGGAGCGGCCGGGTGCAGCCTGGCGGTCCCCGGTCGTGCACGCTGCTCGGTCTTGGGGGCTGCCATGTGAGCTTCCCCCTGTTGGCTGGGAGGCCGGCCGGCGGCAGAGGACCCAGTGGCACAGACTCAAGCAGTGCCGAAGCGTCCTGGCTCGCCAATAGGCTTACCAAGGAATGTTCTAAGAACCTTTTGCAGTTTCAACGAAATGTTCTTAGAACATGTCTGGTTGGTTCTAAGAACGTTGTGCTGTTCTTAGAACATGTTTGGATTCGAAGAACACTTCGTGGTAGGCCGATAGGAATGCCAGGACGGTCGGCCCCTGCTCAATAGACCTGCTTGCTTTTTGAAGTCCCCTCTCATCCAGCCTTGTGATCGGATCACTGCTCCTCCTGCTCTTCCATTTCTCCCTCCCATCCGACGGTTTCCCCCCCCTCCTATCCACGCCCCCTCCTCTCCTGTGGGCGCCGTCCAGATAAAAAGGCGCTTCTCGATTCGTTTTTCCACCCCCCTCGGAGGCCTCGACGCGGTCACCGGCGGCGCTGGCACGCCTCTATCTGCCACCAGCGCCTCCTGATTTGTGGCAAGTGCGGGGCCCCGCGCGGCGGGTGTGAGGAAATGCCAGGTCAACCAGCGAGCTCTCGAGCATAGTCGCTTAGGGGATTCGGCAACATGACATGCCAAGCCAAAACTAACTGCAGCGTGGGATGCAGTCCCACCTCAGTCTCATGGCCGGAACTGTTTCGGCCTGATGCCCCCAGAGGAAGAGGAGGCGTAGAAAGTCGAGAGAACAGGTGGTGAAGCAGTGAGGATTAGTCGGGGGGGCAACTAGCAGTGTCCGCCGGAGCACCTCACAGTGCAACAGTGGGATAGCTCATTGGAGGTGTATTGCGCGGCGCTTCTGTTAGCCAGTCGCATTCATGTTTTAAAGTTCCCAAGATGTCCTCATATGCGAAGGGCCTGTGTACATATCATACGTATACCAGCGCTCGATCGGGACGCCAGTGAGCGAGGGGCACCCTGGTGTGCCCTCACTGTCAGTACCCCCCAGTGCTCGCAGTGAGCGGCCCAGCCTCAGAGGAGGCCCTGGTGCCCTGGCCTTCTGGAACCCTCCATCCCTATCATCATCCCCATCATCATCATCATCATCATCATCATCATCATCATCATCATCATCATCATCATCATCATCATCATCATCATCATCATCATCATCTTCATCTTCATCTTCATCTTCATCTTCATGTTCATCTTCATCTTCATCATCATCATCATCATAATCATCATCATCACCATCCTCATCAGCATGAGCATCAGCATAAGGATCAGCATCAGCATCAGCATCATCACCGTCATCATCATATTCACAAGCATAATCATCATCATCGTCCTCGTCATCGGCATCATCATCGTCATCATGTTCTTCATCGTCATCCTCCGTAGCAGTTCTGGCTCAAGTGAAAACCTGTGAAGCTAAAGTAACAGCGAATCAGAGATTCGCTTGGCCTGTCCGTTGCCTGGCTCAGGCTGGCTTGGCTTGCGCGCTGCCTGCTTGTCCCCTCCTCGGATAGATCGATCCTCGCCGCGATGCCAGAGACTGATGCGGCCGTCATGTGAAAAGTATGACTACTCAGGTGGAGATGTTCGTCAAAGGAATGCTCGAATTCAAAGATGGCCAGAAGGCGCAGGCGAACGCTCTTGAGGGCCACACGACTCTCCTTGCCCAGCTCAGTTCACAATTCTCGGAATTGGGTCTTCTCATGAAATCCGTTCAGCAGGAGATTGCAGCAGTGCAGAAGAAAGGGGAGGATAATGACCATCTCTTGGCTGAGCTCCGTCGTGATGTAAGCAGTGGAGGAAGCTTGAACAGTGATGAGTACGAGGGCTCTGCTCCAGATTGGAAGAAAACTCGTTCTGTGGTTGCTTGTCCAGATCGTCCCAGAGTTCCTCGGAGGCGAACCACTTCAAAGCAATGTTGGTCGGTTTCAAGGATGAGTTTAGTAAGAAGATTCTTGGGACGGCTGGTAATGCGATTCTCTCCTTCTGCGCGGCAGTTGAAGTTCAGCAGCAGAAGAAGGTCACTCCTCAGAGTTTCGCGAAGAAGGTGATTATTGCCTGCCCCTCGGTGCCGGACGCCCAGGAAACGTTCATATGCTTTCGGAAAAACTTCCCCGACGGCTTTGGTTCCGACACCCCTCTTAGTCAGGTCTTGATCCGTCTGAAGCCGCTCAGAGTTCAGGCCACCAATGCGCAGTTCAGTGTCATCGGTAGGATCAGGAAGCTGCTCGAACCTCTCATCGACATCGAGTGGGACCTCCGCTCCAGTCCGCAGAACGGTTCTATGTGTATAAATATATAATGAAAACAAGAAGACAGGTGCGACCCATAAGTTCTTCCAGGTCGAGAAGCCAGGTGTTGACACCTCGAAGCCGAAAGTCAGTTCGTTCCCGTGCACGTTCAAGGCCCTGGAGATCGAGGAATCGAAACCTCGGGAGATTGTGGATAAGGCAATCGAAGAGTTGCGTCTTCAGCAGAGCCGCCAACAGCAATGCCTGAGCGAGAGGGTTCCATCACTCTCGAGATCGCCTCTCTCTTGAGTGCAGGAGATCATGTAGAGGCACCGCGCAGACTGAGGTGGATCAGTTAGCTTTCATTCCGTCCGTTCTCGCCTGCAACATCGGTGTCTGTTGTGACGTGAAACTCAAGGGGATTATTCGGCAGCGTCTCCAGCATGCAGCATCGGTCTTGTCAGCGCTGGAAGTTTTTCTCTGGTCTTATCAGGCGTTACCAGATCGCGCGTATCCAGGGATCTCAAGGCCATGAGGGTGACCTTGTCTTTTTGCAGAAGGAATTCCCCAGGCATCGTTTCTTCTTCAACCCGCGCCCGCTGAACACTCCTGGTCATGAGGTCCTGTTGTGTATTCACAAGCGTGTTGCTGGGTGTTTCACCGATTTCCACCATAAAGTTGTGGTTCCTGGGAAGATATGTTATGTCCTCGGCTGGGGTTCCTCTGGGATCCTTGGGATTGCGGTGGTCCACTTGCCGAACGTTGATGCCGGCGTCGGTCTCTATCGTCATCAGCTGTTCCGCCTGCAATCGTCGCTCCTCTCTGCCTCTCTTGCCACGAATCTTATCTTTGGGGACTTCAGCAATTTTGTATTCAGTGGTGAGGGTCGCTTTCAGGTTCAGCCGGGCACCTTCACTCGATGGGGTCGCGGCCCGTCCTAGGGAGTGGAATCAGCTCTTTGGATCGCTTACAGAACTGCGCCAGCCTCGTGATACTCGTCGGGCTTGCCAGGGGGCGCAGATCGCGGTGACGGCTCGGTTGGATCGGGTCTACATCAGTACGCGCCCGTCTGTCTTGAATGATTCCGCGATCACTGGTTCCACGATCAGTATGCCTACCGACCTTCAGAACCCTTCGGACCACGCGCCCGCCGTCGCCACGGTTGCTCCTAAGCCTCGACCTGGCCCTGGACCGCTCCCGATCCCTGCCTGGGCCCCTCGAACACTTGAGTGCCGGTCTATCCTGGCGGAAAGGCTCGCAGAGGTTGACATCAATCTAGGGCCCAAGGATCAGTTGTAAGCTACCAAGGTGGCGATGCAGAGAGGCCGCTACGATCCGCGACCTTCTTCGCTGGAACGCGTCGGCTCTTCGTGCGTTTTCATCTGGCCCTTCATCTCACTACCTTCTTGTCCGCGCTGTGCGTGCTTACCCCGCTCTCTCTGACTTCTTTGATGTCGACGCGCGCGCTCCGTTGGACGACGCGGGCCTCTTCGCACGCGTTGCTTCTCTTAACGGTGCTCTCTTGGCTGATGAAGGCATCGCGATTGAGCAGGCCACCTTATTCCCGAGCATGAGCTGCAGCGGCGGCGTTCGCGTGCGCAGCGTAATCGAGAACGTCGGTGCACGTGGAATTCCAGTGTCCGACTTGGTAATATTCTTCATGAGCACGCTGGTGTTTCTTGCGCGTCGCTTGAGCACGCAGGACACGAGCTTGCGCGTCATTGGGGTGGAGTGTTTGCTTCAGTTGAACCCGATCGCTCTCTCTGGGGCGACTTGGAACCGCTCATTCCGAAGGCTTCGGACGTCTACCCTGGCCTGCAGTGGATCCTGGATCAAGGAGCGTTTGCCGCTCTGGTGAACGCCGCGGGGGATTCTATGCCGGGTGTCGATGGGGTGCCATATAGCAGTTGGAAGGTTCCAGAAGCTCAGGAGAAGCATTGCCAGTTCTATCGGCATTGCATCCCTCACCTGGATGAACCCCGCCCCGCCGACTTCCATCGGATGCTCATGGTCTTCCCGGCAAAAGGGGGCCGCTTTACTGATGCTTCGGCGGTGCCCGCTAGAAAGCCATCCAGTACTCGTCCGCCCTCCATGAGTTGCGCGGACTGCAAGTTGGTCACTCTTGTTGTTGCTCGGCCCCTCTCTCTGCTGTGCCAGCGTTTTATCTTAGACAGTCAGACCCGTGGTGTCTCTGGTCGCTCGATATTGGATAACATCATCGAGCGTAAAAGATATGGGGTATTCGCATACCTTGAGATGCAAGATAAAGCAGCACAGCTTTTTGCTAGTTTTCGCGCCGCTGTACTGAGTTTGATGATCTAATGGTTGCTATTTGTCTTTAGTAAGGTGCGTATTCCGAGGTGGGCCGTGCAATTCCCCTCAAACCTATATGAGGATAACACCGCCCTGGCCCACTTTTGCGGCGCTGTGTTAGCCCAGTTCTCGGTTGGGCGCGGCGTTCGCCAGGGGTGTCCCGCGTCGATGCTCCTGTTTGCCCTCTCCCTTGGCCCAGTGTGTCGTTGGCTGAATGCCACGAGTCCCTTAGGTTTCAGGCTTTCAGGATATGCCGACGACTTGAGGTTCTGGCTGGACAATATCTTTACCGATGTTTGCCTCCGCTCCTTGATATGCTCGGTCTTCTAGCTGGGGGTATCGTGCCTGAGTTGCACTTTGGGAAGTGCATTATAATATTGGTCTGCCCGCAACAAGTTCACAACTTCTCTCAGCTGCTTCTATCTCTGGGACGAGGCTGCGGACGTTTCCCTGTGGCCACGTGGTGCAGGCGGCACCTTGGGATTCGCGTGGGCCCCGATGCCCGCCTCCATTCGTTTCCCACGCAGCTGGATAAATTCCCCCGCAGAGTCTGCAGCATCCGTCTGGTGGGTGCTGGGCGAGCTGAGTCCACGGTTGCCTACAATGTTCGGGCCGTTGCAGTGCCGGGCTACGTTTTGCAGTTACATAGGCCGACCCCCCCCCCCCCCCCACACCTGCTGCAGACGGAAGAACGGGCTCTTCAGATCTTTCATGCTGGACCGAGGTGCAGTTTCACTGCAGGAATGATGACGTCTCGCAGGCACGCAGGGTACAACGCTCAATCTATGGCTCTACCTCATGTATCCCAAGCCGCAGCGTTCAGAACAGCACAGGACTCAAAGGCATGGAGTCGGTACCACAGGCGTCTAGACGGGATTGCGCATAACTCCAATGACTTGCATCCGTGTCGGCTATCTCGCGGCTGATTCGCCAACTCATTCCTGTCGCTTATGGCCGAGAACACTGCCGCGCATCTCCCTCGGGCTCGAGAGATTAACCCAACGGCGCCTTTCTTGGTCTCCCATGTGGAGTTGGCGTCGTCTCCCCGCGCAGACGTTGGCCCCGGCCCCCTTCGTGGCGACGTCGAGCGACGTGTTCTGAAATGGATGCCCCTCCCCTCGCCTGCCTCTGTTTCGTTCCCCCCCCTCGCTAGGCGTATGCGCGCTGTCTTTAATGCCGTTTCGATGTTTTTAGTGGTCGCCGCCCTGCGGGTTCTCTGTCGGGGGCTGCGGGCGTCGGCCCGCTGTCACGCCCAACCAAGACTTTGTGCTTTCGTTTGCCTGGGGGCCACAGATGAGCAGTGCCACTACCTGCGCTGCCCGAAAGTCCTGGAGCTCCTTTCGTCTTGGGCCGCCCCCCTCCTTCCGCTCGATTTCGCCGACCCGTTCTCAGTTCTTTGCTGCGTACACGGTCGAGCGCCCGAGAAGCCCAGAGACTTGGTACTGTGCGCGTTGCTTGGGTGTTTCGTCCACACCCACTCACAACTGAGAGCCGCTGCCGCGCCTATGGGGAGCCTCGCCTGCGTTGATCTTTGAGGGCCGTTTGCGGCTCCTGATGCAGCGGCGCCCTCCTATTCGCACGGCTGCAATAGGCCGGTCGGCCGTTCCGTATGCGCGAGGTTCTCGATGATGGTCGAGGCTCTTTGTGCAGAGATGACTGTCTCCCAGGGACGTTTTGGGGGCCTTGCTTGTTATCTCTCCTTCCTCTCTGCCGACCCCCCTGTTCTGCTGCTGCCGCTGGCTGCCGCCGTCGCGTGCGCCGCCGCCGTCTGCCCTCGCGCCTCTCTTGCTCCTCTCGGCCGGTGCCCTGGTGGATGGCTTGTGTGTTTTAATCTTGTAATTGTTTTATATCGGCCTTTTCACGTCTTCTGGAGTTTATGGTTTGAAATTTTGTCCTGGACCGCCCGCCTCTTTCGCTTCTCTTGCCCCTCTCGCCTCTCTGCCCTCTCTTGCCCCCCCTGCACGTTCCTGCCTGGTGGAGAGGCCCCCCGCTGCCCGCCCCTCTTCCGCGCTCTCTCGGGGCAGGCTTCCAGTGGGCTCCGTGAGCCCGCCAGAAGGGTTAACCCAGCTACCAGTGCTGGGCACGGGCACGCCCGCTCTCGATTTCTTTGTACCCGCGCGCGCGAGGTTCTCGATGATGGTCGAGGTTCCGCGTGCCGCCCCGCTGGCTGCTTTCCTGGCCGCCCGCCTGGCTCTCGGGTGGCTAGCCTTGCAGCTGCGATCGATCGATCGATCGCCTCCTTTTCCCTCCGTGCCTCCGCTCCTTTCTGCCTGCCTGCTTGCTGGTTCTGGCTGGCTTCAGGTTGCATGTCTTCTTTGGCGCCCAACCTGCGATTACAAGAGTTGGTTCGGCTTCGTTTGCGCCCGTAGTCTTGCGCTGGTTTCACCCGCCGTCACGCCCTTCGGTCCATCCACCTGCAGTTCAGCCGTTGTTTTTGTAGTCAGCATTGTGTCCGCGGCTTTACCGAGCCTGGAAGGGAGAAACAAGCTTCTTCATCGCCATCGTCATCATCACCGCCGTAAGCAGCAGCAGCGGCCCGTCGTCGACGAAGTCCAGGAGAGGAGCGGCAGCCTCCCGTTGGAACTGCCCTCCCCCTTTACTCCCGCGGGTGCCGTCCCACGGAGAGACGAGCTCCTCGCGTCCCGCGCTTTTGCCTCTTAGAACGAAACGAAAAGCGGCGCAAACATAGTTTCTCTGAGCTCCTCGCGGATCTCCGATAAGTTATCTTCACGACGTTTATCGCTCCTTTGCCGCACGTTGGCGGACGCGGCCTGCCCGCGACCGGCGTGGCGGCGCGCGAAGCTTCTCCAGCATCGACTGGATCTGCCTCGCGATCTCCTCTTTGCACGGCCCTTGCTCTCGCAGCTCTTGGCGGAGTGATGTGGCCAAAATGGTGCTTCCATTTTCGGAGGAGGGAACAGCGACGCCAACACCACCAGAGGGGGCCACCTCCAGCGAGGAGGTCCACGATGCCTCCCCATGCTGGAGGCTGGGGATGTCTCGAGCGAGAGGGGGGGGCCACACCACCGGGGAGACCTCCTTGTCTCCTCGCAGCTCTTCGCCTGATCGGTGTTGGTGCCGCCTCTCCTCGTGCCTCCGTTTCTGCTTCTCGCCCCCGCCCCTCTTCTGCCCCGCGGCGATCTGCGGGCGCCGGCCCCGCCGCGGCCACCGGGCGGGCGCCAAGGCTCTCCGTGCCCTGTGCAGCGCGAGGGCGCGGCGGCCGGCCTGCTCCCGTGGCAGGTGCGGGGCCATCAGCGCGCGCCGTGCGCGGGGGGGACGCTGGCCGCCCGCGCGGGCAGCCTGCACCGTCAGAGGCGCGGCCTTCGCGGGAGGTCCCGCGGCGCCGGCACGTGCTCGAGAGAGGCCTGGTTGTGCTCCGTCGCGGCCGTCGAGGCCTGTGGCGCGGCACCGGGTCGCCCGCGGGCTCGCAGGCCGAGCGCTGGGTGGGGCAGCTCCCAGACACGTTGCGTCTGAATTGCTTTTGAGAGGAGGCGAGCGAAACGTTTTTCGTTTGCCGGCGCCGCGCCCCGAGAGGCCACCCCCGCGCTGTCTGGCGATGCGCCCATGACCGGCGCATCGTAACAGGCTGCGCAGTGGCTCTCCGCGCACGACGGGCCATCCTTTCCCTTCTCCCCCTCCCCCTCCTCCCCCTCCTCCTCCTCCTCCTCCTCCTTCTCCTCCTCCTCCGAACGGTCCGAACAGTCCGAACAGTCCGAACAGTCCGAACAGTCCGATCATCAGATTTTTCTCCTCCCCCTTCCTCCCCTCACCTCCTGCTTCCCCGCCCCTCCCTGCTCCTCAGCTCGCAGGGCTGCGGTCTGCGATGCGGCTTGGCGTCGCGGCCCACAGTCTCTGCGCGCCGAAGGGCCACGACGGGAAGCTGCTCTGGCGAGGGACGGATCTGCCGAGCAGGATTCCTGGAGGGCCCTGGGCTCGCAGGGGTCTCGTCCGCGGCGCTGCTTGGCTCGACGGCCGACAGGCCCTTGGCGCGGCGCCGCCGCCATGGCCGTTCGAGTCCTGCCGTGTCTCCGCGTGGCGGCTTCATTTTGGCCCTTGCATGACCCCGTGTCGCCGTGCCCCCGTGCCGCTGAGCCGCGAGGTTGCTGACAAGCTCCACGGTTGGCCCACGGAGTTGGCGGGTGTAACTTCTCGCCTCGCCCCCTCCTCCTCTCTCCTACTGTTTGTCTGTCTCTCTCTCTCTCTCTCTTTCTCTATCGCCATATGTTGTTCTCTCTCTCTCTCTATCTCTCTCCCTCTCTCTCTCTCTCTCCAAATCTCGTCCTCAACTAGCAGGATTGCGGTCTGCGGCGCGGCTTGGCGCGGCGACCCATGATCTTGCGTGTTGAGCGCGATGCCTGGAACGTTCGTGCTCGCATCGTTGCGGTCGTCGACGCGGTTCTTTGCTATGGTTCAAGATCTGCCGTGAAGATTTGCGGCGCGTCAGCGAAAAAGATCTTACCGCGAAAGTTCAGAGACCATCGACAAAGGTGCCCCAAGATTATTTGGCTTACGCCGCACCGCCGACCCCTTGGGGGAGAGTCGCTGTTGCGGCTTCTGGGTGCCGCGAGACTTATGTTGTTATCTATATCGAAGACGCCTACGGCGAACGCCCGCCGAGCGTTGTGGCAAGAGCTCTGCGATTTTTCGGCCTATGTGTTCCCCCCGGCCGTTGCAGAAACCCTTCGGGGATCACTTGGGGGAGGATGGCGGGGAAGATCAGGAGGAGGGGGAGGAGTGGGAGAGGGAGGAGGAGGAGGAGGAGGAGGAGGAGGAGGAGGAGGAGGAGGAGGAGGAGGAGGAGGAGGAGGAGGAGGAGGAGGAGGAGGAGGAGGAGGAGGAGGAGGAGGAGGAGGAGAAGGGGCATCTTGGGAGCCTCGGGGGGCACTCCTGGGGCCTCTTTGGAGCCTCCTGGGAGCCTTTTGGATGCATCTTGGAGGCCTCCTTGGGCCTTCGGGGGCTTCTCGGGGGCCTCTTTGGCCGTCTTAGGGCATTCCTGGCCCGCCTGACGCCGTCGGAAGCCGTCTCGAGGGCCTCTCTGGGCCGACTTGGAGCCCTCTTGGGATGCTCCAGGCCAACTTGGAGGCCATCTTGGGCGTCTTCGAGGCCTCTTGGGCTGGGCCGTCTTGGGGCCCTCTTGGGACCGTCTTCGGGACCTCTTGGGCCGTTCTGGGGCCATCTGGGAAGGCCTCGTGCGCGATCTTGGGGCAACCTTTGGGGGCTCTTGGTCCGTCACGGGCCGTCGGAAGCACACACCCAACAAAAGTTCATGATTTGGTCACTTTCGGGCCTTCCTGGAGGCCCTCTTGGAGGCCTCTCGGGCCGTCTTGGAGGCCTCTTGGGGGCCTCTTGAGCCGTCTTGGGCCATCTTGGAGCCCTCTTGGGCCGACTTGGTTGCCTCCTGGCCCGTCGGACGCCGTCGGAAGCCGTCTTGAGGGCCTCTCTGGGCCGACTTGGGGCCCTCTTGGGGTGCTCCAGGGTTGTCTTGGCGTTCCTGGCTTGTCTGACGCCGTCGGAAGCCGCCTTGGGGGCCTGTCTAGGTCGTCTTGGGGCCCTCTTGGGGCATATCAGGGGTTCTTAGAGGCCATCTTGGGCGTCTTGGAGGAATCTTGGGCCGTCTTTAGGGCCTCTTGGGCCGTCATGGGGCCATCTTGGAGGCCTCGTGGGCGATCTTGGGGGCCTCTTGGGCCGTCTAGAGGCGTCGGAATGCCGAACAAGACCAAATGTCCAAGTCCTTCAACAGCCAACGGACAATCAATGATTTTGGCATCTTCGGGCCCTTCTGGAGGACCTCTTGGAGGCCTCTTGGGCTGTCTTGGACGCCTCTTGGGGGCCTCTTGGGCCGGCGCATGCCATCTGGAGGCCATCTCAGGCCGTCTTGGGTGCATCTTGGGCCGTCTTGGAGGCAGATTGTGGCCATCTTAGCCGTCTTGGAGGCCATCTTGGGCGTCTTGGAGGCCTCGTGGGCCGTCTTGGGGCCCTCTTGGGGGCATCATGGGGGCCTCTTGTGCCGTCATGGGGCCATCTTGGAGACCTCTTGGGCGATCTTGGGGCGATATTGGGTGCCTCTTGGGCCGTTTAGAGGCGTCGGAATGCCGAACTGGACCAAATGCCCAAGTTCTTCAAGAACCAACGGATAATCAATGATTTTGGCAACTTCGGGCCCTTCTGGAGGACCTCTCGGAGGCCTCTTGGGCTATCTTGGACGCCTCTTGGGGGCCTCTTGGGCCGGCGCAGGCCATCTGGAGGCCATTTCAGGCCGTCTTGGGAGCATCTTGGGCCGTCTTGGAGGCATATTGTGGCCATCTTAGCCGGCTTGGAGGCCATATTGGGCGTCTTGGAGGCCTCGTGGGCCGTCTTGGGGCCCTCTTGGGGGCATCGTGGGGGCCTCTTGTGCCGTCATGGGGCCATCTTGGAGACCTCTTGGGCGATCTTGGGGCGATATTGGGTGCCTCTTGGGCCGTCGGGCGGCCGAAAAGGCGAACATGCTAGAATCCTTCAAAAACCTATGCAAAATCAATGATGTTTGGCCTCTTCGGGCCTTCCTGGGGGACCTCTTGGAGGCTTCTTGGGCTGTCGTGGAGACCTCTTGGGCCGTCATGCTCTTGGGCCGTCTTGGGCCATCTTGAGGCTATCTTAGGCCGTCTTGGGTGCATCTTGGGCAGTCTTGGAGGCATGTTGGGGCCATCTTAGACGTCCTGGAGGCCATCTTGCCCGTCTTGGGCGATCTTGGAGGCCATCTGGGGCCGTCTTGGAGCTGTCTGGAGCAGGAAAACCCTTTGGAACCGGGTCTGGAAGATCTTTCCGGGAACCCGGCGGGACGGGCCGAAGCCCCAGGGGCACCCCTGCGATGACTCGACAGGGGGCGGCGGATCGAAGACGCCTACGGCGAATCACCGCCGCCCCCTGCCTTTATGGAAGCGCCTATGTGGCCGAACGTTGAGGCCAGACCTGCCAAGCTATCGGACCATGTGTTCCCCGAATCGGTTTGGAAAGCCTTCGGGGAACACGTGGGCATCTTGAAGGTCATCTCGGCCGTCTGGAGGCCATTTTGACCCTTTCGGGCCTTCTTGGGGGATGTCTTGGAGGGCTCTTGGGCCGTCTTGGAGGCCTCTTGCGCCGTATTGGGGGCCTCTTGGGGCCGGCTTGGGCCTCTTGGGTGCATCTTTGGGGGCCCTTGGGCCGTCTCGGGCCGTCGGAAGGCAGAAAAGAAGCAAATGCAAACATCTTTCAAAAACCAAAGGAAAACAACTGATTCTGGCATCTTTGAGCCCTCCTGGGGGCCCTCTTGGAGGTCTCTTGGGTCGTCTTGGGCCAGCTTCGAGCCAACTTCGGCCATCTTGGTGGGCTCCTGGCCCGTCTGAAGCCGTCGGAAGCCGTTTGGGGGGCCTTTCTGGGCCGACTTGGGGCCCTCTTGGGGTGCTCCAGGGCCGTCTTGGAAGCCATCTTGGGCGTCTTGGAGGCCTCTTGGGTCGTCATTGTGCCCGCATGGGGCCGTCTTGGGGGCCTCTTGGACAGTTCCGAGGCCATCTTGGAGGCCTCTTGGGCGCTGTGGGGGCGATCTTGGGGGCCTTTTGGGCCGTCTGGGGTCGTCGGAAAGCCGAGGAGAAGCGAATGCGAAACTCTTTTAAAAAAACCTAAGGGAAATCAGCGATTTTGGCATCTTCGGGCCCTCCTGGAGGACCTCTTGGAGGCCTCTTAGGCCGTCTTGTGCCTTCTTGGAGGCTTCTTGGGCGAACTTGCAGGTATCTTGGACCCTCTTGGGCCGTCCGGGAGGCCATCTTGGACCATCGTGGGCGAGCTTGAGAGCCATCTTGGCCGTCTTGGAGGCCATCTTGAGCCGTCTTGGAGAATTTTTTGCGGACGTTGAGGTCGTTTCGGGTCGTGGGCAATCCTTCCGGGACCCCGGCGGGACGGGCCGAAGCCCTAGGGGGAGTTCTTTTGCGAAAAGAACCCGAACCAAAACCGAAATAGTCTAGCACGCCAGGCACCCCTGCGATGAATCGACAGGGGGCGGCGGATCGAAGACGCCTACAGCGAATCACTGCCGCCCCCTGCCTTTCTGGAAGCGCCTATGTGGCCGAACGTTGAGGCCAGACCTGCCAAGCTATCGGACCATGTGTTCCCCGAATCGGTTTGTAAAGCCTTCGGGGAACACGTGGGCATCTTGAAGGTCATCTCGGCCGTCTGGAGGCCATTTTGACCCTGTCGGGCCTTCTTGGAGGACGTCTTGGAGGGCTCTTGGTCCGTCTTGGAGGCCATCTTGAGCGTCTTGGAGGCCTCTTCGGCCGTCTTGGTGGCCTCTTGGGGCCGTCTTGGGCCTCTTGGACGATCTTTGGAGGCACTTGGGCCGTCTCGGGCCGTCGGATGGCCGACAGAAAGTCAATGCCACAATCCTTCAAATACTCATGGGAAATCAATGATTTGGGCCGTTTCGGGCCTTCCTGGAGGCCCGCTTGGAGGCCTCTTGGGCCGTCTTGGGCCATCTTAGTGCCATTTTCGGCCGTCTTGGTGGGCCTCTGGCCTGTCCGACGCTGTCGGAAGCCGTTTGGGGGGCCTCTCTGAGCCGACTTGGGGCCCTCTTGGAATGCTCCAGGGCCGTATTGGAGGCCATCTTGGGCGTCCCAAAAGCCTCCTGAGCCGTCTTGCGGGCCTCTTGGTGCCGTCTTGGGGACCTCTTGGGCCGTTCTGGGGCCATCCTTGGGCGACCTTTGTGAAATCTGTGGGGGCTCTTGGGCCGTATCGGGCCGTCGGAAAGCCAACACCTAGGGAACATCAGTCCTTTTGGCCTTTTTTCTGGCCTTCCTGGAGGCCATCTTGGAGGCCTCGTGTGCCGTCTTGGGCCAGCTTCGAGCCAACTTCGGCCATCTTGGTGGGCTCCTGGCCCCTCTGACGCCGTCGGAAGCCGTTTGGGGGGCCTCTCTGAGCCGACTTGTGGCCCTATTGGGGTGCTCCAGGGCCGTCTTGGAAGCCATCCTGGGCCGTCTTCGAGGCTTCTTGGGTCGTC